GGAGAATCACTTCAGTTCGCACGATGTCACTGATCTCTGTACTGGATTTGACGAGTCCGTTAAAGCTGTCGTCGATTTCGCTGCAAAAGAGGCTTGTTTTGCATTTGGATTTTCATTGGTCTTAACATGTTACAGGGATTACATCTTGCTGTGAGTCTGATTGTTGTGTGATTCGTTCAGATTGAAATACTTTTGTTGTTCGTGTAAGATGGGGGTCCCTACAAGGGGGACTTACTTATTTTTGATAATTTGGGGGTGTCAGGGGGCGGTAATGGAGGGGATCGGGAAATTAGTTCGGACGTTGTGCGTGGAAATGGTAAATTATTGTACTGGGAGGGGATGATGGCCTGCCAGACCATCGAAGAGGGTAATGAAGCACCAGAGCGTGGAGACCACTGGTTTAGGATTTGTCACTTTGATTCCTTTTGAACGGTAGGAATATGTTGTGGAAGAATTATTTTATAAGCGGAAGATACGCGATTTAGGGCCCATTCGATGGGATATTTGCGTTCAGTCAAGGTGCTGCGTTCGCATTTCTGTTGGCTGCAATGCGGCAACGAGGAGGTTAGCCTGCGATTTCTTGCGTTTTCAAGGGTTATTAAGTCTTTTCGATTTGTTTGCTGAGTTGTTCGTCTNTCTTCGTGTTCATTCCACTGCTTTCAAATTGTTTCCATTTTATTTCGGTTTGAAATTTCTCGAAATATTTTCACATCAAATATCACGTTGAATGCTGATAACGCGATCTTAAAATATCGTTAGAATGAGGTGATCCGGAAGTTTTCCTTAACCTGAAGGCAACTTTCCCGTTCACAACTTTTAGCTATAACAGTTACTGATCAAATCCTGATTATATTGTATTATTGCTAAAGATCGTTTTCGAGACGCTAAGTTGACTGTCGTGATTCAGTTGGTTGGATGGGAGAATAGCGCAAAGTTGGTGGATTTATTCGATAAGGATTTAACGGAAGTCATCATCCATCCGGGTGGCCACTTCGTACCAACTCTTTCTGGATACAAGGAAACCGTGAATCGATTCATGCAAATGGTTATTAGTCGTTGTTGAACGTTGGAATCTTCGTTTTGTGGCGGAATATGCAGATATTTTCATCGGCAATGTAATCAAAATTATTAACGCTTCTCAGATTCTCACCACTCTGATATTGTTACCTTAACACGGTGTTGTCTGTTCTTCACGGAATTCGGATATGTAACTGTCATCAACATATATGTTCTGTATGTGGCAAGAGTAAAAAATGATTCTGATTATTTGATATTTGGCATCATTGTTGTGGTCGATATTATTTATGCGCCGATGTTTCATTTTGATAATTTCATTCTACAAATACTTAAATTCTTCCCATGGAAATTGGTAACACGTTTGACGTTGGTAACTGATAACACTTTCGAAATTTTCGAGAAGTGGGTGCTTCTCGACGATCAACTGTGTTGTGTGAGAGCGCAACGAATTGCGACAGCACCTTTTATTTTGGCGCTAAACAATAAGCAACAATACAATGGATTGGTAAATGGGTGAAATGGACGGACGATTCAGGAAATGAATAAGTGAAGAAA